CAGTCAGCGAGCTCGCTGTTCCCACATACACACAGAGGTCCGTCTGTCGTTGTGAGGCCCTTCACCTTAACAGAAGTGTGAGGACTGGACAACATGCCCTCACACTTAGAACTAAACTTTGACCTCACAACCAAGGAAAAACATAGAAACATGGTTCACAGTTAAGCTTTAAACACATTTGTACAAACAGGGGAGAAGTTACAAAATTGAAATGGAACAGAAAAAGACTATATACATGTATCATAGGCTCAGTATGATAATTAGATTTCTGACTACAGCTCCAGTCAGCATCCCACTGTCGCCTGTGCAGCTCCAGTCAGCATCCCACTGTCGCCACATGCCTGTTCAACGGGGGTTTGTTGGGCTCTGTAACACTGTGAGGTCTGGACCTTACTGTGTAAAGTGCCTTCAGATGACAGTTGTTGTGAACTGCACAAATAAAAGTGAATGGAACTGAACCATTTTTCAAGCAAAATACCAAAGATTAGCTCTCTTCAGCTCTCAAACGTAACCATTTTCTGTTGTTGCCTGTTTGTTTTCACAGTAAACTGTTTGTCTTTGGGGTGTGCTGCTCAGATAAGACACCTTACAGACTGAATAATGGACTAGCTGAGAGAACAATCAGCTGATTAATAGATAATGAAGATAATCAGTAGTTGCAGCTCTGACTTGAAGCCCATGGAGTCTAGTGATCAACGATCACACTCAGCATCTTTATTCACATACCACACAGAGACGAGCTGATTCACACACGTTCACACACAAGCTGTTTTTCAAAAGTTGCATCTGATATGTTCAGCGACTTACAGCAGTAGCCACAGACGACCAGTGAACACCAGGCATCTGCAGCCTCGAGCTAAATGTGGTCACTAAAGGTGTGAGGCTGCAGCAACACAGTCAGAGCTGACATAAAGGGCACCGTGCCCATGCAGTGATGGCACAGTGAAAGCTGCTGTTAATTTCAGCTGCTTTTATGATGAAAACCAGAACAGGAAGTGAGCAGCTGCACAGTGCCCCCTGTCTGTAAGTGCTCTTCAGGTGCTGCATGATCCTCTGCTGCCTCCTGCTGCTGGTAGAGCAGGTGGAGCACAAGTAGGCAGAAGTGCCACACAAACTAAGTGGACCTTAAAGCCAATACTTTTACTTTTGATACTTCAAGTATATTTTGTTTAGTTGTAACTGGGTAATTTTACACTGTGGTACTTTGCTTCAGTAAACAATCTGAGGAGCTTGATAGCTAAAGGCTCTGCCTCCCATTCTACTTCTGTGGACTCTAGGAACCACAAGTAAACCTGCACTCTGAGAGCGAAGTGCTCTGTTAGGATGATAAGGCTCTACGAGGTCTTTAAGATACGATGGAGCCTTGTCATTAAGGGCTTTGTATGTTAGGAGAAGGATTTTAAATTCTATTCTGAATTTTACAGGGAGCCAGTGGAGAGAAGCTAATATGGGAGAGATATGATCTCTCTTGCTAGTTCCTGTCAGTACTCTGGCTGCAGCACTTTGGATTAACTGGAGGTTTTTTAGGGAATTATTGGGACATCCTGATAGTAAAGAGTTACAGTAGTCCAGCCTGGAAGTAACAAATGCATGGACCAGTTTTTCAGCATCACTTTGAGACAGGATGCTGCTGATTTCTGCAATATTGCGCAGGTGAAAGAAGGCAGATCTAGAGACTTGGTTTATGTGTGATTTAAAGGACATATTCTGGTCAGAAATGACCTCAGGGTTCCTCACAGTAGTACTGGAGGCGAGAGCTACATCATCTATATAGTTAGACAGCAGGTTTCTAAGGTTGTCAGGCCCAAGCACAGTAACTTCAGTTTTGTCAGAGTGTAGAAGTAGGAAGGGTTGGAGCTGAGCACAGTCTGGTGCTGCAGGTGTAGAGATGCTGCTGATGAGCTGATGAGCAGCTGAGGGGTGGTGCAGTCTGTCCAGCAGGAGTCAGGGAAACACTAGCACACACAAAAACTGTAACCACACCCTGCCTGCACACACCTAATTAGTGTGTGTCTTTGTGTATTTGGGAATGTTGCCAGGCAAACTGTATTTTTAAACCAGCTTTTTTTCTTTCCTCTCTCACAGATTCTTGAAATCAAGCTGGATTACTGAAGGATTTATTATTAGTCTGTTGTGATGCGTTGTCATGGGAACTACAGAGTGGACTAGGATCGATTCCTTCTGGTCTAACAGGTCTCTGTTCTACAGCAACACGGATTCCTAGAGGCTCTGTGTTTCTAAGAACAACCCTCTGACCAGATGTTGTCCAAGTGTTTCAGTCTGTGCTATTGCTGATTATGGATTATTGATGATGAACACAGACTGAAGTCAGATTTAACTGCCTGTCTACTGCTGCAGGTACATCATGTTTACTTTGAACAGACAACTGAAACTCTGGTGAGGTGTCGCCTGCTGGATAAGTGGCCCGACAACCAGCTGGTCCTCAAAAACACTTCAGAGTCTTTCCATCCCTGTTTGTTCAGTTGATCACTGGACATTTTGGTTAGTTGTCGTGCTTGCCACATTAAGTTTGCATACCAAAGGAGACACATTGCTGGCAGCTGTGTACTTTGTGTTTTATTGTCATTATCCATTATCTACACCACTTATTCCTGAACAGGGCCGCTGGGGGCTGGAGCCAATCCCAGCTGATACCGAGCAAAAGGCGGGGTCCATCCTGAACAGGTCGCCAGTCTGTCACAGGGCTGACATGTAGACAAACAACCACACACACTCACACTCACTCCTACAGGCGATTTAGAGTCACCGGTCAGTCTAAGCTGCATGTCTTTGGACTGTGGGAGGAAGCCGGGGGACCCAGAGAGAACCCACACAAGGAGAACATGCAGACTCCACACAGAAAGGCCCCAAGTTGGGCTGGACTCGAACCTGGAGCCTTCTTGTTTCATGCTTGTTTTATTGTCATAATTATGGAAACTACTGTGGCACATTGAAGTGTAACTGGTTTTTGAGTGTTTTTATCTTTATGAAATGTTTGTTCATGTAGTATTGACACATTCCTATTACTAGAGCTTTACTTTAACTTCTTTGTGCTTTTTATGATTATTTGTTTCTACATTTCTAGTTTTTCTGCTTTTTAATTAATCTTGTTGTATGTGTGTATGTTCACCTTGTTATGTGTGGATGTTAGTTGTGTTGCTGTGGCTGCACACGGTGCAGCTTCTATGAAATGTTGTGGCCAGACTGCCCAAGCAGACCTGCTTCATGAAAGTGTTTTGTGACACACACAAACACCTGCAGTCACACCCTGTGGTGAGTCATGCTCACACAACCCTCATTGTGTGCGTGGGCGTGCACAAGAGTGGGGTGTGGCCCAAGGACTTAAACCACAATCCAGGTTCACAGTGACCCACTGTGTCTGCAGCTCCCAGGTGAACTCAGGTACGTCTTCCACACTTTATACTTTTTTCTGTCACACTTCAGCTCAGTTTGTTTCAGCTGTGTGACAGAAACTTAGCACAGCTTCAGGTTCAGGAGCAGAAACAGGAAGATCATGTGAAAGCTGTTTGTGCTGCTGTGAATTTGGATCATTTAGTGCAGGATGACGAGAAAGTCTGAAGAAGCTGTGAGTTTTTGGGATCAGGAATCTGTTGTGTTGGTTTAGTCTGACTGAATGTGTTCATTCAGGCTGAGGAACTCTCTCCTGGAGAGCAGGAAACTGTGCAGACACTGTGTGTGAGCAGAGACAAACACACTGGCCCTGTGTGTGAGTGCTTGCTGTGAATGTTTGCTCCACCAACAGAGAAACCTTTCCTCAGGTGCTGTTGGAGGTGGAGGCCAACACAGAGCGGTGAATTATGTTGTTTGCTCTGACATAAAGGGCTCTTTCTTATTTTCTTATGGACTGATGATGTAAGTCTGGGCACCGATTGGGGGGTTTAGCCTGGAGACTGACACCAGCTCCTCTCCAGTTTGAGTTGTTTATGGGGGCGGTTGTGGCTCAGGAGGTAGAGTGGGTCATCTCCTGACCGGAGGGTTAGTAGGTCGATTCCCGGCTTATCCAGTCCACGTGTCGAAGTGTCCTTGAGCCAGACACTGACCCCCCAGTTACTCCCAGTGATTTCACCGTTGTGTGAATGTAGAGATGTGAATGGGTGAATGGCCAAATGGTGTGAAAGTGCTTTGAGTGAGCTGCAATGCATAGAAAAGCCTTAAACAAGTATAAGTCTTCACTGAGCTGTGTGACTTTAGGCTATAAATATTAAGTCACTTCATACGAGGGCCCTGGGCACCTTGGGCCCCTGGGCCTGTGCCCTGCAGGCCCGTTTAGTCTGTGCTGACATGACAGAAGTAATACAGCATGTTTCATTTTCCTGTCCAGACATGAAGCCGTGACTGCTGTGTGAAAGCTGAAAGTGAATTTTACAGTAAATTAACAGAGCTACTGGCATGTGTGTTGTACAACAGCAGCAGAACTACTTTGAATGCAGTACTGGTACTTCAATAGAAGACCTGAGTCTGTCTGCTTCACACACAAAGCAAAGCAGAACTTGGTTTGTTGTTGTTTCTAAGCGAAGCTGATAGTTTTTACAAAGTCCATGACAGAAAATGAGATGTGATGCTTTCTGTGCGGGACGACCTGCTGCACAGAACAGTGTGGAAATGTGAGAGAGAAGCACATGAAGACAGGAAGGTTTTATGTTCAGCTCTGTGCCAGTAATGGAGCCTCCCATCAGAGGAAGAACTCAGTGACACATACTGTAGTTCAACATTGACTGTGTAATTCTGTCTTGTCGTGCCAGGACAACCCCCGCCACACCCTCTGGTTTCTTCCTATGCAGTTTTACCTGCTCTCTGTGTTTCAGATCACGGGCTCGCAGGATGGATGTAAGTCAGATTCAACCTTTTCTACACACTGACACATCAGAGTGAGGGTCTGGCTGTTGTTCAGCATTGGGACTGATTCACACTAAGAGATGCCTCTTCATTTATGTGCATGTTTAATGATTTAATGTTCTGTTAGTTCTTCTGTATTAGCTTAGTTCTAATTTAACAAAAAGACACTGGTGTGGGAAATAGAAAATCAGATTTAAATTGTTTGTTTTTTTGTTTTTTTAAATCTGTTAAACACTAAACCACACAGAAGCTGAACACTGACAAAACTCTTGTCTCATATTTAGAAGATAACTTCATGTAATTATGCTTAAAGTTTGGCGTGGAGATGGGGTGTGATGTATCTGTTTCATCTGCTTGTTTACTCCTCACTTTGACACCGTGGACAATGTCATTGTGTCTGACCTGTTTTTGTCTCTTATTGTGTTTCTGCACATTAAAAAAAAAAAAACAATATTTTTCCATTCGAGTGTGTAGTGCAACTTTATCAAATTATGTTGTGTGAATATTAGGAGATAAACATTTGTCCTCACCCTCAGGAAGTACTCAAATATCAGCTCTTTTTTTATTGTGTGTGTGTGTATGTATGTATGTGTGTGTGTGTGTGTGTGTGTATTTTGTCAGACTGTAAATTGTGAAGTCTTTGACCAAACACACAATTCGTCTGAAACATCACCAAAGTGTTAGATTTTCACGCTCTCCAACAAATAAAAACCCTCCTTTATTCATTGGAACCACGTTTTTAATCTCCCTTTTAAATGTACATCAGTCACTGAGAGAAACCTGACGAATACTGAAATTTCTTCGAGTCACTCAAACACCTCTAACACACCGCGGTGCATTCAGGAACAGCTCGGACACTGAACACGCTGTGTGGCATTCATTCCAGCTCCGACATGTAGGGACAGATTTCTTCAGGTCTTTACTCCTGTTCTTCAGACGCATGTTTGACACAACTGAGTCATAATGTGAGCATTTCCCCGTCAGACTCAGCAGTGTGTTCGTTTGTGAGCAGGGTGTGTCTCCCTTTTTATTGTATATCAACAGCAGCAGTCCCACACACGTGTAAAGATGCAAAGGAAAAAACTGAATTAACTGATCATCTCTCAATCTCCTCCCCTCCCGACATGAACCTGCTCGTCAAGCTGGACTCGGTGCTGCTGTACTGACTTTTCACCTGGTGGACGTTGGATGAACTGCACCCACTGAACCTTTCTGATGTCTGTTTCTCCACATGTTTTTGTCTGCAGCTCTCAGACGCGCTTGATGGTGGGTTCAGTGGTGGCAACCAGCCAGGCAACCCCACCTGGCCAGGTACACCCACTAACACTCGTCCTCCCACCCTGTTTGTTGTGTCTTCTGCTTCCATGTTAGTCCTCAGTATTATGGAACATGTAGAAGCTCCAGTGTTTTGGAGCTTGATTTTTATATTATTGTGACGCTTTTATTCTTGTAGAAAAATCACCCTAATCCTGATGGGACGTGGTGTAGTTGGGTCTTCATTGGTCCAAAATCCAAGGTTTGATCCAAACAAGTTGTATAGAATATCCACCAGAAACTGAGGAGTGTAAATTACTGACTTTTGTTCATACAGGTTCCACTGTGAACAGGAAGCACTGGTGCATTATTCTGATCAATATTATCCACTAATTGTAAAAGTAGGATGACACTCAATGACAATTTACTTTCTGTAAGAAGACGACAACGTTTTCAGCCGTCAACAGTGTCACAGTCTCACAGTGCAGCTGCTGCTTTAAACATTACATGCAGATGAATCCTCCTGAGACAATTAGCCTGAACCTGGTTAGGTGATCCTGCCAAAAACAAGGCAGCTTTTTAGGACTCGGGCAAAAGTGATATTTTCAAACCCAAGTACAGTCCGGCAATCAGCCCCCCCAAGTCAACCACATCAAAAGGTACCACTATCATACATATATGCCAGATAAAAATCAGCTCTACCACAGGTCAATAACTATTATACCTTTTGTCATGATCACCCAACCAGATGATTAGGCTTGTTCACGATGAATTGTGTCTCACCTGGTATGTAGGTGAGGGCAGGGGGCTGTGACAAAAATCTACAGTCCAGACAGACAGTTTGAGCTTTCCACCGGCCTTCAGTCTGTACAGGAAGTCACAGAAACTAGTATTCAGTTCGATCTGATCATGACTTAATAAACTGTCATCAAACCAAACTGTTCAGCTTCTCCTCGGGGTCCAAACAGCTGCTGGTTTAATGACGTCCTTCTATATGACAAGGAGAGTGAGAACATGCTGACCTGTGTTGGTCTTCATACTCCTCATTTTGGCAGTGCTGTAGCAGCAACCTGGCATGCTGCCCTCTCCTACTCGTTGTTTCATTCAAGGTCTGCCTGCTGCTCTCTGGGTCTCGGGCTGGGGGTGCTCAACCCGCTCCACTTTGGCCACGGCCACCATCAGGGTGGCTGGTATGCAGCAGTGCTCTCAGAGCCGCTCTGGCCACAATCACAAAGGTGTGAAGGGTGGTGCATCTCGCCGACTCAATCAGCACTCTCATTTTGGCAGGCTGTCGCTGAGGGTGGGGTGGTAGGCAAGCTCAACACAGTACTGGGACATATGCTCTTGTTTGTAGCATCACTCCTCCTTCCAGTCAGGCGATATGTTTGTTGATCTCCCGGAGCAATGTTATCATCTATGGAGATCCCAATTCTGACACCAATGGAGTGTCGACTGAGTTAGAAGGAGCTGGACACCAAAATAAAACCAATCAGATCCAGAGTAAAGCAGGTCCATTAAAGACTAGATATGTTTGTGTAAATCAGTCGTAAAATTTATTTTCAAATAACAACCTGTCCTCAGGCCAGCCGGGCGCCAACCCTGCCTGGCCCGGAGGCCAGCCGGGCGCCAACCCCGCCTGGCCCGGAGGTCCATCTGGGGGTGGAGGTCCATGGCCTGGAGGAAACCCCAACCAACCCTCCTGGCCCTCCCCTCAACCCAACGCACCTGGAGGATGGCCCAGTCCTGGACCTGGGCCTGGCATCCCTGCTGCTGCCCAACAGATTCTGGTGAGTCAGATGATAGATGAATTGAGTGAAAGATGATTTGGGAGTTAAATGTAGTAACCAGTTGTCTTGTTGACAGACGGTGCCCTACAATCATAACCTGTCCATGGGAGTTTATAACAAAATGCTGATCACCATCGCTGGATCAATCAAACCCAACGCCAACATGTTAGTATGAACACGTTAACAAGATAAAATCACCTGACAAGTTGGCACAAACAGGTCGGTGTTAGTGAGATCTGTGCATAATCTAGTGGGAAAAATGTCCATAAATATGTCCCCGTAAACCAGCCCCATCTTCTTGCCTGAAAACATCAATAACTAATGTGGAGACAAAAATGTATAAAGAACACGATGGATTCTGGTTTCTGTTGCTTCTCAGGTTCACAGTGGATCTAGCAACACCAAGCGATCTGGCCTTCCACTTCAACGTTCGCTTCAATGAGCATGGCAAGAAGGTCATTGTCAGGAACAGCTGCTTCGGTACGAAGTGGGGGAAAGAGGAGCGACAGCTGCAGAACTTCCCATTCGTCCAGGGAAAGCCATTTGAGGTCAGAGTTATTCTGCATCAGGGCAAATATTTGGATTTCTTTTAGCAGTTTGTACAGAACAGCTGCCTTTTAAGCAAACGTATGATTTTTTTTTTTTTTTTTTTCCTAACGGTGGCTCTCAGGTGTCAGACGATCCCTGAATGCACCACAGAACAGATTTAAAGGGCCAGTTCATAAATATGTGATCAGGTTGGTGACAATTTGTGGTTTTGTTATTGCAGATGAAAATCCTGTGCACCGACACAGAGTTCAAAGTGGCCGTTAACAGTGCTCACCTGCTGGAGTTCAAATACCGGTTCACCAACCTGAGCTTGATCAAGATGATGAATATCTACTATGACGTCACCTTGTCCAAGGTCTCTGTGGAGACTCTGCCGTGAGACAGATGAT